TTTTCAATTTGCCAATCCTTCGCTGTCATGAGGTACGAACACAGCCTTATACGTGGTGTACTGCAAAGTAGTGATGTCTTGGGAGCCTGTGTACAACCACAGATTCCACTATTGCCCATTAGTGAGTTGCGATTTTGGTTCATCAAGGAATCTGCATGTTGCTAAATCATTTTCAGCGGAAGCCAAAAAAAAAATGATGGGAGAACACCTGTAGGCCCCTCTCAGTCCTCGTTTCGTGGTAGCAAGGCGACATCCTGCAGCCTCTGGGTCACTAGCGTTTCTTCGCGTCATCCAGTGCATAAAAAAAAATTAAAAAAAAAAAAAAAAACTATTCATTAATCCTACTATATATGAATCCGCTAAGTTTGGTTGATTGGTGTGTGTGGTACGTGTGTGAATGTTGTGTGTGTGTATGCGTGTGTTGACCGGAAATTCATAACTTCCTTCAAAAGAGCGATAGAGCCCTCAAACTGATAAGTAATGTAGGGGGTCGTGCACGAACATTATTGGTCGGTGGCAGGGAGTGATAACAGTTGATAAGATACCATAAGGAGCCTTAGAAGGTAAGGGTCACCAAATTCACAACGCGCGTCACAGCAGCGGTAGAGCGTTGGTTCCAAGAAGTAAGGTAGAGGACAGGATGGGAACATTATTGGGGGTGGCAGGAAGTGATAGAGCCGATAAGATACCATTAAGGAGCCTTAGAAAGGGAAGTTCAGCAACATCATAACGCGCGTCACAGCAGCGGTAGAACGTTGGTTCTAAAAAGTAAGGTAGAGGACAGGATGGGGACATTTTCGGTGGGTGGCAGGAAGTGATAACAGCTGATAAGATACCATAAGGAGCCTTAGAAAGGAATGGTCACTAACACCATAGTGCGCGTCACAGCGACGTGGAACGTTGATTTTTCAAGAAGTGATATTATGCGGGCAGGACAGGAACATTATTGCGCGTGATCGTGGTAGCAGGAACCTGATCGATAAAGTACCATAGCGGGCCCGCTTCAGGAAGGCCTCAAAATTCAGTGCAAGAGTCGGAGCATCAACAAGGGGAGCTGCATCTTTGCTATGCCTGCGACTGAACTTGACCACCGTGGTCCAAGAATTAATGGGCTAAACCTTAGTGAGCAGAGATGTTCCTATCCCTTAGGATGTAGTCGGTATTGTTGTCTGACCGCCTAAAACTCTAGAGGTACACCCAGAAGTAAAAGCCTTAAAATTGTTGCCAAGTGGGAATGTCGCCAATTAGACCCGATATGGTGAAAGCTGCGATCACGTAGATTGGATGTTAGAACACCTTCACTATGAATTTTCGATTATTGCTTACAAACTCTTTCAACCGCTAAGTTGCCTCATTTCCAACGAATGGTGAGTGTTGTGATAAGCACCATACGTTGGAAAATGTTCATTAAAGAGGAGAATTATGATGGAAATAAATCATAAGCGAGCTAGGATTATACGCCTGGCAGGATTAGCAGATTCCGCCAGCTGCGAATCGCAAGGTACTTCCTCGGCAAAAGGCGCTACCCTGAGCAGACGCTGCGTAGCGCCTTTTTCCAAGGAAGGTACCCTTATAAGGGCCTCATCAAGCTACAACATACCGACCCGAACGTCCACCACGAGCCCCCGGCCCACAAATCGCTACGAGGATTCAGAGGTAAGTTGCCGTGGCATCTTTTGGCCGAGCATTCAAATGGAGGAAAATAGGGAAGAGGGAAGGAAGGAGGCACAAAAAAAGACGGGATGAGGAAGTTTTCGTGTTTGACAGATATACTTAGACGGGCTAATGGTGATCTCATGTGCAGAACCGGAATTGCCGTTATGAGGAACTTTACGCGAAAAAAATAGGTCCCCATTCATGGAAAGAAACGAGACCCATGATCGCGTCCAGGAAAACCTTGGCTAAATACGATCGTCCTTAGATTATTTTCTCGGTATGACACCTTTCGGAGCCTGCCTACCCTCGTGCCAGTGTTTCCCTAGAATTTTGTCGGGCTTGTCACTTTTGCTGCCTGCCGTGTAGTCGCCGTTTGGGCGACCAAGTTCTGCAAACGGAGTCCTTCAAATTCCCCTACCTCCAGAGTTCGGTGCGGTTCGGGAGATCGTTCGAAGTTCGGGAGACTTTCTTATGAAGCTTTGCTTGTTTCGTTTATTTTCAAGAACAGCCCCGTTCCAATGTCACACTTATCGCTGTAGAAGTCTTGTTGTCTCCTAACTAGAGCTCACCAAGACAACTAGTCTAATGGGCAGTTTCTTCTGTTCCGCTACAGGAAAGTGGGAGGAGGTCCGTTCCACTTTCATAGGAAAGGAAACCCCATGAAATTAAACGTCTTCATATTGCCGACTATACGTCTTCACCGACGGGTTCGATCCAGCGCCTAACGTCATCCGCGTTCGGCTGGCTAGTGCGTTCGTTCCGGCCTCGTCAGCCGCAGTACTGCACGAAGGAAAGTGGCATAAGAGGAGAAAAGAAGCGAATGGGCAGGGTACCTTTTGCAGCCGCTCAACTTTCTCATCCCGCCGCCAGGGTCGTGGTCTTACCTTGCCACAGTGAAAATTGAAGAAAAGTATGTGTATGTATTCAGTCCTTATTGTCAGTTCTGCAAATCTTCATTTTTTCAATTTGCCAATCCTTCGCTGTCATGAGGTACGAACACAGCCTTATACGTGGTGCACTGCAAAGTAGTGATGTCTTGGGAGCCCTGTGTACAACCACAGATTCCACTATTGCCCATTGTGAGTTGCGATGCTCATCAAGGAATCTGCAGTTGCTAAATCACTTTCCAGGGAAGCAAAAAAAATGATGGAGAACACCTGTAGGCCCCTCTCAGTACGAGTTGTGCAAACGTCCTCGTTTCATGGTAGCAAGGCGACATCCTGCCAGCCTCTGGGTCACTAGCGTTTCTTCGCATCATCCAATGCTAGTATCATTAATAGTGAAAAAGTAACGAAAAACCCGGTTAAAAACTGAACTCGTGGCAGAAATTACCTTTACATTTCGGTAAACGGGACAACTAGGGAGGCGTCAGAACTGCCTATTATTACGGCCACAGCTCCTTCGTTTCCTACAGTGAAGCCGCGAAAGTGGGATAAATGTAGAGACCGAGCGCCAGACTATTTGTACAAGGAAGGATGTTAACGGATTGCTTGAGCGCGGGGACTGTCTTTGAGCGAAAATGCGTGTCGCACGTCCAC